TTTACGATGTACGAGCCTGGGAAACGTTAACCAAGACCTATAGGGAAGATCCTGAGAAAGTAATGGAGAGGATTATTAGAACAAAAGATCCAGATTGGAATAATTTACAGGTAATGCTGGATACTTTAGTGACGTACGATGACAGAAGTGCGGTGCTGGCAAAAGCAAGAGGCAGAAAGAGTCCTTGTGCAGGGGGCCCAGCAGGGGTCAGTGGACGACCACTTTCCTTCCACCGACCCTAAGTGGAATCCAGATACTCAGACCCAGAGGTATTTATTAACCTGGTACCAACAGCTAAGTTTGTTTGGAATGAAACGTGATTCCTAACGCAAAGAACTGGTCAACACTGTATCACATAGTACAGGGGAAAGGGGATAGACTGAGTTTCAGTCTGCTTTTCACTAAAGACATATGGCAACGGCTAGGAAGTACACTATGGAGCCTGAAAAAGATGCAGCAGCACAGTTATCTTGTATTTTTATTGGACAATCAAATCCAGACATTAAATGCCAGCTGCAAAAGCTAGAAGGGACAGATTCTTGGTCTGTCAATGAACTGCTGGAGACCACCTGGAAAGTGTACAATAACAGAGAGGTTGTTGAAAGGAAGAGGGAAAGGAAGGAAAATTGTTGGCTGTAGCTATCACACAGGAAACCAGGAAAGGGGGGAACAGCCCATGAGGGAAGGGTCGGAGGGAAAGATTACATGAAATGTTTGTGAACAGACTGCATGGGTTCACTTAGAGGAGGATCAGTGTGCAATTTGTGAACAGAGGGAATGCCCTCACAGTAAAAATAGACACTAAGGATTTAGTGAAATGTCCAGACAGGTGGCAAAACCGATGATTTTAGATGAAGACTAAGGAGGAGTGGGGGAAGATTCAAAACCCTCCCCAACAGAGCCCTCAGTTAGTTAGGCTGGGAAATTATAAGGTAAAATTCCTTGTAGATACAGGAGCTACCTATTCTGTTATGAATACTTGGCAAAGGACAATGAAGCAAACAAACAGCTTCAGTCATTGGTGCCATAGGGCAGAAAGAAAACCGGCCTTTCTTTCAACCTTTGAAATAGGCAAACGGATGTTGACCTATCAATTTCCTTACATGAGTGAATGCCCTCTGCCATTACTGGATAGGGATATACTGAGTAAATTACATGCACAAATTATGTTTAAGGAAATTAAAATCCAGATACATATCCCTGAGGAAAAGGCTGTGGAGGCCCAGGTTTGTATGTTACAGAAACCAGCCACTGAGCTGGATATACCAGAAGCAGCAGAGAATGCAGTCACTCCATGGGTATTGGCTGCTGGAGTCCTGGGCTGATCACAAAATATGGAACCAGTAACTATTCATCTGAAACCAAACGCCAGGCTGGTAAGACAGAAACAATATCCTATAAAACTGAAAGCAAGGAAAGGACTAGAGCCTTTAATAGAAAATTTTATTGAATACTTTGGGACAAAAATTGACTGTATTTGTACCTCACATGGTAACAACCGTCCTGGAACAGAGAAGCAGACATTGGCTTTCCCCAAGCAGGCCGTGCTTTTGGAACAGAAGGATGCAGAATTGAAATAACTAACCTTTTGAACCCAGCAGTGTTTTTGACAACCGATCCAGAAGCAGGAGAGCTCACAACTGTTTACAGACTATTGAGTGCAGGTATATTCCACTAATACCAACCTACAAGATACCCCCCCAGAGGACAATGGACTGGGGAGCTGTTTGTGGGTAGTAGCAGCTTCATGAAAAATGGAAATCAGAAAGCAGGATACGCTTGGTAACCCAACATGAGGTAATAGAGGGCAAAGGCCTGGCCCCCACGCATCAGTGCAGAAAGCCAAGCTGATCACACTACTGAGAGCTCTGGCACTGTCAGAAGGTAAAACCATTCACATGTAGACAGTCAACATTTGCTCTTTGTTCATGCCCATTAGGCCATATGGAAGGAAAGGGGATTGTTAATTTCTCAGTGGTTCCCTATAATATGGACAAATAATACAGGAATTGCTAAAAGGAGTCCAGCTACCCCAGAAAGGAGCAATAATGCATTGCAAGGCATATCAATTAGGTAATACTCCAGTGAATAATGGCAACTGCCTTGCTGACAAAACAGGCAAAGAAGCTGCTGGCCTGGACCATTCATTAATATTGCCTCATAAGTGCTTGCATAATGAAGTTCCAAGATATCAGAGAATGAGAAACTGGCAAGTCTATTAGGAGCCAAGAAGAACAATGAAGGATGGTGGCTCATACCAAACAGGCTAGTAATAATTCCTCAGCCTCATACAAGAAAAACAGCTGAGGAAAAACAGCAGGCAACTCACTGGGGAACAGAATCAATGACTGAGGCTTTAAAACTCCAAGTTGTGAGTGGTGAATGGTGAGAATTAGAAAAGGTTTTGTAAAGAAGTGCAAACTTTGTTTATGAAACAATTCTTACCCTGCTAAAAGACAGCCACCTGGAATAACAAAGAAAGGCAATTGTCTGGGACACTACAGGCAAGTAGATTTTACAGAGTTGCTGTGGCAAAACAGGCTCAGGTATATACTGGGACTAGTAGATGTGTTTTCTGGTTGCCTGGAGGCTTTCCCTTGTCACACCAGTAAGGCCAGAGAAGTAATAAAAATGTTATTAAAATAAATAATTCCAAGGTTTGGGGTACCTACAGCAATGTCATCTGACTGGGGTTCACATTTCATTGCCGAAGTTGTACAAAATCTGTGCAAGGTAGTACCGATAAAGTGAGATTTGCATACCCCTTGGAGACCCCAGTCTAGTGGGAAAGTAGAAAGAATCAACCAGAGTTTAAAGAAACAAATCAGTAAGATTTGCCAGGAATCATATCCGAAATGACCAGATGAGTTACCTCTGGCCTTGTTAGACTGGTGTCAAAAGAAAAATTAAGCCCATATGAAATATTATATAGGCAACCACATCAAATCACAGAAAGTAAATGAACAGATTATTGGAGATCAGTATCTAACGGAATACATTATGTCCCCATAGAAGGTGTTGTCCTCTCTCCACAGGTATATTGTATTGGTGGCACCCACGATTTTGGACATTACTGCTCATAAATAGCAGCCCTGAGACTGCATTGACGTCAAAACTTGGACCAAAGAACCCCTTCAAGAAAGCAGAAGGGGCCATACCTGGTATTGCTCACAACAAACACTGGTGTCAAAGTGCAGGGAGTAGACACGTGGGTTCATTACAGTTGGGTCAAACCCTCACTGACACCAGAAAGGGCCACCAAAGCCACAGGACCAACTCGCCTAAAGCAGACCAGATACTGACTAGGATCACTTAATTTCTATTTGCAGAGGCCTGTTCAGTGAGCTAACCAAGAGAGAACTTGATCCTGGAATTGGTAAAGGGGGTGGAAAACTACATTATTTAACTAGACACTGCTTACCTATCCTTCATGCTGCAGGAGAACCTATCCCATGGGGTATCATTCCCTTAAATCTCTCATAGATTTAAGTCATAGATCTCAAGTCTTAGAGCATTTTTAAAATGTGACTAAAGCACTGGAAGCAACAAATGCATCCTACTTCTGGACAACGAACAAGGCTGCAGACAAACAGGCAGTGATATATTCTACCGAAAATAACCCGTTAAACAAAATTTTGCAATCCTTTTGAGTGCGGTCCCTAAAGGAATGGTTCGCTATCCTACTATGATAATAGTCGCAATTTTAATAGTCAGTGTTTGTACAGGATGTGCAAAGAGGGGAACAGAAAAACAGTTGTGGAAGTAATTCGAGACATAGCTAATACTTCCAAATGGCAGAATTAATACCTAATTAAACAAGTGTTCCATTGTGTATAGAGACATAATCATGGACAAGGCTACAGGGACTCTCAAGATAAGGAAGCAACAGGAAGACCAGATGTCTTCCTTTAAATGGGTGTTAGCACTCCTCCTTTCAATAAGGCCTGAGAAATAGGTGAACAGCTGCAAGAGAAAACAGCTAAAGAAACCTCTCAGGCTCACGAATTTGCTCAAACAAGTACATACAGTTAACTGGCGAGACTAAACAAGTATCCCAATGTCCTTCAATAACAGATTTTCACAAAGGAGTAAAATGAGTGTGGGTATTTATCTTGAAACAGCACCCGAAGACCACTCCTAGAATTCACAGCGCCTGTGCCACAGCCTTATATACCCAGATTATCATATGCAACGAGTAAAGGGAATTGGGTGGGCACTCTGAAGAATGACAAATAAATATACATGTAATAATTTATGTCAGTTGTAAACTGTCCCTTCTCGGTGTGAACGATAGGCAGAGCGATCCCCTCTGTACCGTAATGTCAGCTTTCTAACCTGCCCTCCTAGATGGAGAGGGTATTTGCACGGATTTCAGCAATAGATGGATGGCACAGCACAGCTACGGGCAGGATGACAGGAAGGAGAGGCTTTAGGGGTCACAGAAAGATGAACCGATGGCACGCGAGAGTTGGCAGAAGTGTTACAGGCGCAACACAGACCCTGAGGAGTAAAATACATTTAATCTCCAGCATCTAAAAACTGCAAACACAGGAAGGACAAATGGAGGCAACACCTGCAGAGAAAGCCACAGCGCAGTCGCAGGAGAGGGTGGAGGGTGTCTGTACTGTACCGTGCTTGGCCCTGGACATGGGAAGGGGGATGCCCCCAACCCAGGGCATATCTCTTGAGTACCCAGAAGAGGAAGAAAAGGGTAGGGAGCACTGGAGCAAACTGGTTCAAGTGTCCCAGCATATCTGAAGGGCCTGAGGTCAGAGGTACAGCCCAAGCTGCTGCCTCCCTCCCTGGAGAGCTCGTGCTGCCACCAGGAACAATTCACACTCTGGAACGAGCCAGGCCATCCCAGATCAGATCCAGAGCCTTGTCCCTCCCGCCAGCCAGGCCAACAGCACACGTGGTACTGAGAAAAAGGGGAGGCAGACTCATATATACTTCATAGGGTACATACAGGGAACATTCTGTTTTTCCCAAAGCATGACAGCAAAACAGCTGTGCCCCTCTACATCCATGCTGGCCCCTAAAGATGTCACATTGCTCAACAGCAGGAAGGAGAAGGCCACAGCTGTAGCTGCCAGCCCCAGGCATTGGAGAGCCCCTACAAACGGGACAGGCAACAGCACGTCACAGTCAGGAGGGCAAAGAGCGGCTGGAGGGGTCAGAATTCTGCCCTTGAACCACTCCAAGTAGCCAAGGGCAAGCGTAGGGCCCTGAGTTGTGCAGGACGTGCACAGGCACCAACCACAGCTCCGGGATGAATGCAGAGCTACAGCCTCAAGACAGGGGCAAGGTGAAAAAGGGTCCTGCAATGAGGCTGGGCCAGGCCTGGACCTGCCCCAGCGTGTGCGCAAGAGAAGGAAGGCAAGAGGGAAGCGGCAGCATCTCTCCACTGCCCGGAGGCACTGAAGCCCTGCAACATTCATGCATTAGCCGAAAGGCAGCTACAAGGGGGTTTGACACGCATATGGAAGGCTGGTCCCTGCTCCCCTCACAGGGCTGCAGGAAGGGCAGGGTGTCTTCGCAAGGGGGAGGAAAGAAGCCATCTTCAGCGCCACGCGTGCCCAGCGCCCCTGGAGCTCCGTGTCCTCCTGTCGGGCCACGCCACGCTCCAGCTCTCCCCCCCACGGGCGGCAGGCTCACAGAAAGTCAAACACCCCGTAATTCTTTGCTGCTTGACAGAAGAAACACAAAAGGGTGAAAAGAAAGAAGAGATGTTTAGGGTGGGAAGACCGAGGCAGCAGTGACACACGGGCAAGCAGCACAGGGCGCTGGGACGGATGCGGATTAATGGCGTTAGAGAGGACAGCAGGAGGGAATTACCATCGGCAATACACAAGTCTGGTGGCAGGAGGGGCTGTGGCATCCAGCAGGCCTGCCAGGCCCATCCACCCTGCTCAAGGTGGGATTAGAATCAAGGTTTAGTTCGTTTATTTCTTTTCTTGTCTTGGTAACGAAAAGGAATAAAGGGAAAAACAAAACCAAACCAAAAAACCAAGGGGTGAAGCCAGGGCTGGTCCTAGGAGACAAACAACGGGGATGGAGGGAGGAAAAGAGGGCAGCAGACAGACAAGGGATGGGCGCTTCACATTACATCCACAAAGAACTCACTGGGGTTGCCCATAGCCATTCGGAAGGACTGTCTACTGGCTGTCAGTTCAGGGGGCACAGAGGCCAGGTCACGGCCTGGCGGTGCCCCAGGGGGCCCCATGGCTGAAGGTGGTGGAGGCATCAGCAACATGGGGGGGCTGAAGAGAGGCGGGAGACCGGGCGGCCCATACGACTGCTGGCTGTGGTGGCTGCGGATGCTGTGAGCCAGTGAGTGCTGGCTGCGCTGGCTGTGCTGGCTGGCTGGCACCGAGCGCTCGCTGGCTGCGCGCTCACGCCGCATGCTGCTCCTTGTGGTGTGGTCCGACTCACTACCGCTGCCGCCTGACTTGGACTCCCCAGTCTTCTCTCTCTCCTTCCTTCTCTCACTGCCACTGCGATTGGAACCGCTGCTCCGGCTCCCTGCAATGAGCACAAGGCAAGGTTAGGTGACAGCTCAGACAAGTCATGAAGAAAGGATGCTCCTCTAGCCAAGAGAGGACTAGAGCATGCTGCAGCACAGCTATCTACCAGCACTGTCCATGCTCTCAGGTTTTTTTTTAGTTCCAAGTTCTACGACCATTTTTGCCCTGGCACCCCACACAGCTATGGCCTTGCCTAAGCAAGTTCTTGCCTTTTCCTGCTGTTTCCCTGTACTGAACAGGGCATCTGCCCACCTGCAGGCATATTTTAGTTCTTTTCACTCACCTTCACTGTGCTGGCTGCCTGCACTGCCTCCTCCATAGCTGTATCCTGGATCAGGGAAGCCGGGGTGGGGGTTGTATGGATGAGGAGGTGGATACTGGTATGGGAAAGCCATAGGCCAGGGTGCGGCTCCTGGGTGCGGGAGCGGAGCCAAAGTGTCCTGATCAGAGGCACCGCTGGAACCATCATGATTGTGAAGAGATAGATTAGCCATGTCTGCAAGAAAGCAGAGAAAAGTGGTTAATCCAAGCAGAAAGACAACCCCATGTAATCAAGAAATTCCCTGTCCATTCTTGCTCGTGGACATGGATGGGGCTCACAAGGAGACACAAAAAGCTGGCACTCTCCCTGCTTGTCAGTGTATCCATTTGTGCTTCCTGGTTGAGCAACAACCAGGCTGTGCAAGTCCAAGCTGCCAGTCTAACACAGAGACCAGCTTGGTGGTAAAGGACCACATCAGAGCTGCAGCTCACCCTGTCAATTACTTCCTCCATCCCTCTTATTCAAGCAGAACCCAGTTGTCTGAACACCACCCCCTTGCCACCACTGGAATTTCAGAGCCTGAAGACAGTTGGTACAGACTAAGACTCTGCTAGGGCTGCCTGGAAGAAAAGATCACATAGTGGGTGATGCTGTGAACGCTGCTTCCAACTTCACCACCGCAACAGTACGACCAAGAAGCTGGGAAATTCTTTATCACTCTCTAACAGTGTCTGTAGAACAAGGGGCCCAGCCTGATGGCAACAGATGTAGCTACGTCCCCATTGTGTCAGCAGGGCTCTGTAGGACCTCTACTCCCCCATCCTCTCCCTCCCACCCATGCCAAGTGTCATACTTCCACAGAGGTCCCCGAAGATGTAGTAACACTGCTCTGAGAAGGTGATCTTGTTGACGGTATGTCGGATATAGCCAGCCTTCAGCAGATAGCTGGCATATTTGCGGGATTCACGACGGTCTGTAAAGCCCTCCACATGGTGATAGAGCCAATCCACCACATCCGAACCTGCCACCAAACACTGAGTTAAATACAGCAAGAGAAAGACAGTGGCCCTTGAGGCAGCAGGCCCCACTGGAACCAAGACAAAGCGGGCCAGAAGTTGAAAAGGGACTGCACAGCTGAAGGTTCAATTTGTGACTGGCTGGGTCAACAGTTTATGGTGACAGAGATGCTCCCTTGGCATCTGCTTGGAAAACAGGCCACCCATTTCCCAGTCCCAGCCTCGGCTGTAGGCAGCACAGTCTCTTACCAATGAAGGCATTGGGGATGGTGATCTTCAGCCACATGCGGTCACGCACCTCCAGGCCTGACTCTGGTGAGGCCATGGCTTTGACAATGGTGGCCATGTCACTGTGGATGGACAGGTGAAAGTCATCGAGGCCTGCGGTGTGGATGAAGGAAGGGAGGCAGAGGTGAGAGAGGACAGAAAAGACAACAGGGCTGCATGGAAGCATCACACAAAGGAGGAATGACAAGGGAACAATACATTGCAGAGAGCCTTGAGGCACATGCTGTGTAACTCCCAGTCTTCCACTGTTATCCTTCACATTAGCCATTTCCTTTTGTGCAAAACCCAGGCCAGAGTCTCCTTCCTTCCAGACAGTCCCAAGCAGCTGAGATCCAAAGGCTGCCAGTTGAGCCCACGCCACACAGCAAGAGAATTCTCTGTTCCTCACAAACAAACAACAAACTCCTGGCTTTTTGCCCCATCTGAGCTTCCCAGACCCTTGCTTCAGGGCTCTCTATACCAGAATTGCCAGAGATCTTCAGAAAAGAACCTGAAGAACCCCGTGTTCAGCAGGATCCTGCCACACTGCAAATCAATTTGCCCCTCCATCTTGCCCTATCTGCAGTCTGGAAGGGCAACTGCTCCAGGGACAAGCTGAATCCCTCTGGCCTCACACTCATAGCTGCTAACCCCTGACTGCTTTGAACCTTTCTTCTGCACCTGCCACAGCTCCCAGACTATACCCAAGCTCTTCTACTCTCCTTACATAGAAGGCTGAAAAATGTGGTATTAATTCACCCAGGCAGAACTCCGCTGATCCAAGTGCCTGCCTGGTGAGAGCTGCCTCCCTCCTAGTCTCTTGGCAGGGCAGATCTTGCCCGACCCAGCTGTCCCCAAGCAGATGTATTGCTCCCTTTACGGCACAGTGGAGGCGAGGAAGCTGTGCAGTGGGTGGAGCACGGAGGCACAAGGACTTACGTTCAGTCTCTGGTATGGAGCTGGTGATGGAGGAGCTGGTGGAAGTGATTGTGCTCATGGATGGACTCATACCGTACGCTGGGTAGGTGCCGGTCATCGCTGCTGTGTGAGACACCCAGGCTGCCGGGTCAATGGGCCGAATGGGCTCACCTGCATTGAAGAAAGAGTCAGTCAGCAGCTATAAGAAATTATCCCTTTATCAAATCAGCCTCTGGGGAGGGACAGGGACTCAAGCACAGCCCATTCTATTCCCAGCATCTGCCGGGACTCACCCGGATCGGAGCATGGAGAGTCTGGCCCAGCCCAGATCCGCTGGGGAGCAACTGGGAGAGAAAGAAGAGAGGGAGGGTCAGCAGGACAGGTGCAGAGGGAGAGATCCCCCTATGGCTCAAGGCAGGGGTTTCTCTTTCCTCTGGCGCCCCGAGCAAGTGACCCCCCTGCCCCAGTGAAACGCGTCCCCAGCGTGATGTGGGAAGGAGGGCTGGGCTTATGGGCATTTTGGCCTGAGAACAGGACATAGCAGCCTCCTAATAGGAGAGCTGAAAACCCACCAAACCCCAATTCAGTGCCACATGGCGTCACACACACAGGGGAGGAACAAGACGACAACCAATCAAGTGCTTAAGGCAGGGCTCTCACATGAGCTGGGTACCAGCATTAAGGGTGGGTCAGCTATCCACTTACTCCTTGGTAACGAGAAGCAGCCACGGGGGCTGGGGTCCCAGCACTTGGCCACTGTCAGGGTGATGGGCCTGTAACAAAAAAGCAAGAATTAGAACAAGAGCCCAGTGGCACAAACCTCTGTGTGATGGGTGATGCTGTATGCTGGCTCTCTCCTGCAAGACAGGGAGAATCACAGAATCTTAGAATAGTTAGGGTTGGAAAGGACCTTAAGATCATCTAGTTCCAACCCCCCTGCCATGGGGGGCACCTCGCTCTAAACCGTATTACCCAAGGCCTCATCCAACCTGGCCTTCAACACTGCCAGGGATGAAGCATTCACAACCTCCCTGGACAACCTATTCCAGTGCCTCACTACCCTAACAGGAAAGAATTTCCTCCTTATATCCAATCTAAACTTCCCCTGTTTAAGTTTTAACCCATTACCCCTTGTCCTACCACTACAGTCCCTAATGAAGAGTCCATCCCCAGCACCCCTATAGGCCCCCTTCAGATACTGGAAGGCTGCTATGAGGTCTCCACGCAGCCTTCTCCAGGCTGAACAGCCCCAACTTTCTCAGCCTATCTTCATATGGGAGATGCTCCAGTCCCCTGATCATCCTCGTGGCCCTCCTCTGGACTTGTTCCAACAGATCCATGTCCTTTTTATGTTGAGGACACCAGAACTGCACACAATACTCCAAGTGAGGTCTCACAAGAGCAGAATAAAGGGTCAGGATCACCTCCTTTGACCTGCTGGTCACACTCCTTTTGATGCAGCCCAGGATACGGTTGGCTTTCTGGGCTGCAAGTGCACACTGAAGCCGGCTCATGTTCATTTTCTCATCGACCAGCACCCCCAAGTGCCCTTGTCCCTCTCCAGCTCTGGATCTCCTTAGCAGTACGAACAAAATGATGCAATGCTGCTGAGGGTTGCTGATGCCCCTAGTGACACGGTATCCCCACAAAAAAGAGGGGCACAGACCCCAATTCACCACCATTCTGCTGGCTGCAATTTTTGCTCTAGGCATGAAAACCCAGAAATCAAAGCAACACCAAAAATGTTAAGTTCTGAGCTCCTGCAGAGCCACTGGCAGAGGTGACTGGAAGACATCACTCGCACACCCCATGCACACACTGTACAGCTGCCCATGGAAGTAAGAAACACCCCAAATACTTACCCGGGCTTATGCACAATCTCCCTCAGCACCCGCACGGCATCATCGTTGCTCATGTTCTCAAAGTTGATGTCATTTACCTGCAAACAATGAAAAGAGGTGAGTCTCTGAGATGTGATCAGAGGCTGAGCTCCCCACTCAGCTCAGCAGTGACTCAGCTTCCCCCTTCCAAGCACAGCTTCCTGGGTTTAGCTTGCCAAAGTGCGCAGGGAGACTTCTGGGTCTTTTCTTATTGTTTTCCCAGGCCCAAAGATGGTATTGTGGGTGTGAAGTACCTGCAAGAGCATGTCTCCTGGCTCAATCCTGCCATCAGCTGCTACAGCGCCGCCCTTCATGATAGAGCCAATATAAATGCCTCCATCTCCATGCACATTGCTCTGTCCCACAATAGAAATGCCCAGGAAGTTGTATTTCTCTGTAGGGATGGGAAGAGAAAGAAGTAAGACACCATCAAGCAGAAGGCACAAGCAGCCCCAACCTCAGACAACCCACATGCTAATGATGGTCATTTGCACCCCTGTCCAAAGAAATGTCCTGGGACACAGAAACACTTGAGAGAACAGTGCTTCAAGACAAGCCACTTTCCTACAGAATCCATCTTCTCACCCCTCCCCGCATGCACTCTCTTCGAGTCCTCCCGACTTCCCCCTTCACCACCCAGGCTTGCTCTGTAAGGATCGCAGGGTCCACGCACACCCCCTACTCACCCATGTTCAGTGTGACTGTGATGATGTTCAGGGACATGGTGGAGTCTGTGATACTGCTGAAGGACGATGACTGCAAAACATAGGTGAAACACGAGATGACCTCCTGTGCCTCAGTAACATTCCCAGTGCCCCAGCTCCCTTCACTCTGTGCTCTGACACTCCCTGTGGCACCACAGCCATCACCCACAATTCCAACCTTATGCTGGGAGCTTTAGAGCTACAGGGCACCAGCCACTGTCCTTATGACCTCTGCAAAGCCAGGACAAGATTTGCAGTCCCAGATTTCAAGGCTACATTGGCCTGGGAAAGGTTTACAGTACTTCATTGGGTCTCAGCACTTGGACACCACCTGTCCCCATCTCTGCCTACAGCAAACACAACGGAATCCCTGACCATCCCTGAAGCACTGAGTGGAGAGACCCACCAGCCAGCCCACCTTGCCCTGCACTGCCCTTCCCCAGGATACCCAGCCCCTCAGTACCCGCTCAATGCGTGGAGCCTTCTGTTTCCGCCGGCGTCGCTTGTGTCTCCTCATTAGACGAGAAGCACTGCTTTGCTCTGTCGAACTGCTAAATCTAGAGGCAAAAGCAAGAGTCAGATCTGCTGCTGCCAGGGTGGTGGCTCTGGCAGCAAGAGAGCCACAGAAATGGCACAGGGAATAGAGGACTGCAGGGGGAGAACATGTCTTTAGAGGGTTAGGGTTAGCAGAGGGGGGTGCTGGGTGAGACTTGAGCAAGGACCCTGAATCCCAGGATTACTGTGCTCTACAAGGACACATCTCTCTGTGCTGGGATGCAGGGGGAAGCTAGTGCTCCTCTAGGACCCAAGCTCTCCTACCTGCTGGTGGAGTCATCTTCATCTGAATCGAAGAAGCTGGTGGTCTCCAGCTCGCTGCTCATGAGCGTGGAGGAGCTCTCATACCCGCCCAGATCTCGGCGCCGCTCTCCCTTTGCAGTCCCATTCACCCTGGGCGCTATGAAAAGACAAGACACTGTGTGCTTGAGACAGGCCACAGGGAAACCGCTTCTCCTACACAAGACTCATAGCAAACTTCTCAACGTGAATCTGCCCATCAGAAAATCCCATCTGTGTTAGCCAGATCTGAGTCTTCTGAGTCCACTCTGGGATCAGATCCATCTTCTGTGGAATACCTCTTCTATCACTACAGAATGGGCAAGGGGCTGATGAGCCACTTAGGAACAATGCTGCTAAACTCATGGAAGACTTGCATCTGTTTCCTTGCAGAGCAAATTGCAGCATGGAGTGGTAAAGCTACAGCACACTCTGCTTTTCAGTCAAGGACTGAAGCACTGCTGCCTTTGCCCCCAGAGGTTTCAACATGAAGCTCTGACCCAAGATATGTGTTAAGTTTCTGCCTTCAGTGTGAGGCTATGGCCTCAGATCACTGAACAGTCCTTCTAAGCTGGGATGGTTCTGCAGAGCAGAGAGCACTGCCCCATGGCTGGAGCCATGACCTAGCCATGCCCTGCAGAGCTCTTGCTATGTTACCAACACTCACCATGCTCAGGCCCATCTGTCCGACGGGGTCGTTCCCTTTGGGATGACACCACTGAGTCCGTCTCTGTCTCATTGTCCAAATTTTCTCGACTCCCCCCAGTGTTAGGGCTGCAACGAGATAAAAGGAACAAATACATCCATCAGGAACAACTTAAACAGGCTCTCTACCTCTGTGCTGGCCAGTGCTATCCTCCAGCCATCAGCCAACTACTTCTTGAGGGACAGGAGCGGAAGTGGGGAGAACAACCACAGCACATCTACGAGTGCAGGGCAAGGGACGGGAGGAAGCTGTGCCAGCTCTTTGCCAACTTCCCTGCACTGTTTTCAGCATGTCCTTACTTGTTGAATAACAAAGCTCTACTTCAAATCTGCTCCCAGCCCCATCCTCCTCCCCTTTAGCTGCCAATTTGGGTAGGAGTGTCCCAGACTCTGATCTGGATTTACAGCAGTCACTTTGAGTCCCTCAGAAATCAGGATAGGCGTCCAGGTAACTTACTGGAAAGAGGGAGGCCTGGAGTCTCCAATTCCTCCTGTGCGCTCCATAGAAGGTGGCAGCTCTGTCTGGTTATCAGCACAGACTGAGCCAGCATCTGAATGGGAACCCTCTGCAGACACCAGCTGGAAGAATGAGAGACAGACAATGAAATGGCTGAGGCACTGGGAAAACGTTTACAAGAGTGGCCAGACGAGCTGGCCAAAAGCCTGCCTGGCCCAAGATCTCCTCTCTGACAGCAGACAACAGCAGATGCCCAGGAGCAGGTATGGAACAGGCCAAGCATGTAGCAACATTCCCCCTCAAAGCCTTCCCAGACACCGGCTATTTGTGGCTCAGGAATTCCTGACCCAGCAGTGAATCTGGGTGGCTGACAGCCCTGCTTGGAGACTCTGACATCATCTGCACACTCATACCACACAATTTTCCCACTCAGGTAACCTTTAGCACACGTCCTGTAGGAAGGAATGGATTTCCCTAGTTGTTCTTACATCAAAAGAGGCTGCTACCAGTCATTCCTTTTCTCAATTTTACCAGCTCAGGACTGAGACCAGCTTTGAAATAGACTCCCAACATTTTCTGCCTTCCACACATACTTCACAAACATTCAGGTTGTGCCCAGTTAACTGTCTTGGGCACAACCTCCAGCCAACCTCTGGGAGACTCAACAGCTTCCTTCCCCAGTGCAGAAATTCAAGGGTCAAACCCCAGGAACTCTATACCAGCCATGCGTTGGTACAGCCCAGCCACACCTACATCTGTGCCTCTGGATCCAAGATAAGCCACCAACTTCAGGGCTCCAGGAATGAGGTGGAGCCTCTTCTGGGAAGAATGGGCTCACCAGTGGTATGAAAAAGAGGACAGCTCAAAGGAAACCAATGGAAAGTGGTTTCACCAACATCGCTCCCTATCCAGGTCTGCTTTCTCCTCACTTCCAACACGCTTCCACATCTGCCCCACGCCTGTCCCCTGCACAGCATGGACAAGTAGGATGGTTGATTCTCTCCCAGTGTCAGGGAGGGACCACAGGGCCCAGTGCCCCACACAAAAGAGGCTGTGGGTCAGCCTGCAGCCAGTCCAGGGAGGTGGGGACACCAGAACAGAGGTGAAGTCTCAGGCTGTCTGCCCGAACCAACTGCCAAGCCATTAGCCATCACAGGAGAGGTCAAATGTATCAGAGGTGGGGGATGCCCCACTGGGGATCAGGGTAGAAGGATCATGAAACACAGGCTGTAAAGGAGCTGAATGCTCCACAAACCTTAACACCCAGTACAAATGCAGAGGCAGCTCTACTGCTTGCTGGTGAGGTGACCACATCTGCATGTAGACAGAAGCAGATGCCAAGCCAGGTGCTGGAGACACAGCCCATTTACACAGGTCTTGAGTGCTTCCCAGCATCACTGGGATGAACCCACCTTCAAGAACTGAGGAAACCATGATAAAGGGAGGTGGGTGTGTGTACCTCACAGGCCATCATTAGGGCAGGGGGAGAGAGGTCTGCTGCCAGGGGGCACTGGGAACAGAGACAGAGATGCAGCTGGGGCAAGGAAGACAGAGCAGCCCTGAAAAACCCACAGCCAATGCAGCAGACAGGGCAGAGGGCACCCTGGGGTGTCAAAAGCTGCAGAGCCCGTCCCACAAGCCCCAGGACAAGCCCAACAGCTCCTGCTCTCACAACTGTCTAAGCAGCTCCTGTTTCACACTTGCTGGGCTTTCCTCTCTCCAGAAAGCCCCAGGCACATGCCCAGCTCTGCTTCCAGCACCTTCCTGGTGACTTATCTTCCCAAGACACATCCCACTCCCTGCGGGCAACATCCCTGCTCTGGCAGCCACTGCCTGGGAGCACAGGGGAGAAGAGATGCTGGCCAACACTGTCCAGGGAAAAGACACATAATGCTCTATGCTCAAAGAATTCAAGGCAAAACCATGAAAATAGACCTGGACAGACCAAACTAGCCATAGGCAGCTGTCAAATAGCAGTGAGAAGGAGAGATGGAATCTTGAGCAGGGGGACTGATGCTGCCTTCCTCTAAGACTCCCGGGGCTGAGATTTCCTCCAGGGAAGGTTTTGATAAGCACCCTGCTCTTTTCCTGCTTCTTGCACTGTCAGGAAATAGTCATTTGCATCCAAGCTCCTGTCTTTCCCTGTAGCTAAAATTAGTACCAAGTCCCTAAAATAGCCTCATCCCAGCTGGCTGTCTGGCAGAAGCAGCAAAGCAAGTATCCCCCTTTACCCCTCAGCCCCCCAACCACCCATGGACAAGGAGACTATCAGCAGAGATAGAAAAAGGGATCATTTGCTGTATGTAAAGGTCTCCAAGACTGCTGTCACCCTTCATGCGTAAAAGCCAGGACCAGTCAGCGCTAACTGAAGGCATAACCTCCCCACAAGGAGCCGGCACACCAGAGCAGCAGCATGGTACCTTGTTTACACCAGACAGCCAAAACAAAGCTGTGCCACTCACATGGAGCAACCAGAGAGCTGCTACAAGGTAAGCCAGCAGCTACGTGGATGCATGGACCACATGGAAAAGCACGCCAGGTGAAAAAAGAGCAATGGAAAGGGCTCAGAGACTTTGGGACTCCCCATAAGGCAGGTGGGGAAAAAAAAGGCAAAGGAAAGGGAAAGGTGAGGAGATGCAACAGGGCAGATGGAGCAGCAGTGGGGATGGAGGCTGTTTCGGAAGGACCTGATAACCACTAGAAGGAGGGTAGCAGGCATCCACTTGCCAGGGCTATGGCTCTTTGTGCGGAGACGTGGCACCCTCTCCTCCCAGGCGCCCAGGCAGGACACTATGCTGCGTGCTGCCGGCACCCCAGCAGGAGCCTGAGCAGCAGCAGGGTGCCCAGCCACTTGGTCCCACCAACCCTGCCCTCCCTCCTGAAACACAGTCACTTCATGGCCCCCAGTCTGGGGCCTAGCTGTTTGATGCAAGTGCTAGAAGAAGCATTAGGTCTGATTCAGTCTAATTTGCTGAGGATTTTCACTGTTTAGGGGATTATTTGGCAGCCTCTTGCTTCTTCTGGTGTAGATACATGCTTTCTCATCAGCATAAACTGCAGCTCTGCAGAAGGGGGAAAGGGATAATGGACTACAGAGACTGAATACCCTCTCCCCCCACAAACAGAGGATCCCCTTGGACACAGAGGGAGGCATGCGGGCAGGGGACAGAGCATGTGCATGGCACGGCACAGAGGGAGAAGCTTGTCCTGCAGCTGCCCAGGCAGTACCTTTAGTCTTCAGGTCAGTCAAATCCAGTCCACTTCACCAGCACTAAAGTCACTTAAGCCCTTTGCGCCAGGCACCGGAGCAGAACTTTTCTTGGAAAGCTGACCCTGCCATAGGGGCACATGGGTTACGCTGCAGACAGGCCGGGATCACCACCTCTGCCAACCATCGGTTACCGTGAGCTCTCCACAGAGGCATCCTGCATCTCCCCTGGCACAGGGGACCCAGCACCATGCAGCCCCTCTCCAGATGAGGGGCTGGAGCGTGGTAATCCAGCTCATCAGCTTCATTAGCACTCAGCACACCGACAGTATGTAGTAGTCCCCGTGCCTCACTTGGCACAGTGCAACCAAACAGTAGTTTTCAGAGGGGAGAAACAGGCAGTGAGATACTGAAGCAACAGGCTTGCTTACCCAAGACACCACCCGGCCATTGAAGCAGGGAAGCTTGGCATTGTCATCAGAGATCTCTTCTTTCACCACCCTGTAGAGGGGAGAGGAAGCAGTCAGAGCTGGGTCTAGGACATAAGAAAAGAAGACTTTCCCAGGCAGGTGTTTGCACCCAACAACAGGCAGCCCAGGCTTGGAGATTGGGTAGGGGAAGAAATAGCAGCTCCCTCCTACTGCTGGGCTACAGCTTTCTATGCCCACAGCTATGATTGGCAGGCTGGAGAGACGATGAGGGAGAAACAGGCTTTCCGGTTTGCATCCAGCTGTTCCAATAAAGAAAAAAAAAATCAGAGCATATCACAGAATCATAGCATCATTTAGGTTGGAAAATACCTTTAAGACCACCACCAAGTCCAACCATTAACCCAACACTACCAAGTCCACCACTAAACCATGTCTTCCGGTGCCATACCTATATGTCTTTTAAATACCTCCAGGGGTGATGACTCCACCACCCCCTGCACAGCCTGTTCCAGTGCTTGACAACCATTTCAGTAAAGGAATTTTTCCTAATATCCAATCTAAACCTTCCCTGTTGTAACTTGTGTTCTTTTCTCTTGCCCTATTGCTTGGGAGAAGAGATTGACACCCACCTTGTTACAACCTCCCGTCAGGTAGTTGTACAGAGCAATAACGTTCCCCCTGAGCCTCCCTTTTCTCCAGGCTGAACACCCCCAGTTCCCTCAGCTGCTCCTCATCAGACTTGTTCTCCAGACCCTTCACCAGCTTTGTTGCCCTTCTTTGGACCCACCTCCAGCACTTCAATGTCCTTCTTGTAGTGAGGGGCACAAAAGTGAACACAGGATTTGAGCTGTGGCCTCACCAATGCCAAGTACAGGGGATGATCACTGCCCTGGCCCTGCTGGCCACACTGTTTCTGATACAGGCCAGGATGCCATTGGCCTTCTTGGCTGCCTGGGCACAAGCTGGCTCATGTTCGTTGTCAGTCAGCACCCGCAGGTCCTTTTCCACCAAGCAGCTTTCCAGCCACTTTTACCCAAGCCTGCAGCATTACATGGGGTTGAGACCCCATTGTTATGACCCAGGGGCAGGACCCAGCTCTTTGCCTTGTTGAACCTCATACCATTGGCCACAGCCCATTGATCCAGCCTGCCCAGATCCCTCTGCAGAGCCTTCCTACCCTCCAGCAGATCAACGCTCCCACCCAGCTTGGTGTCATCTGCAGATTTACTGAAGGTGCACTCGATTCCCTCATCCAGATCAATACAGGTATTAAACAGAACTGGCCCAAGTGCTAAGTGGTGGGAACACCACTTGTGACTGGCCACCAACTGGATTTAACTCCATCCACTACCACTCTTTGGGCTTCTCTACCCAGCTGGTTTTTACCCAGAGAACAGTACACCCACCCAAGCCATGAGCAGCCAGTTTCTCCAGGAGAGTGCTGAGGGAAATGATGTCAAAGGCTTTACTTAACTGCAGGTAGACAACATCCACAGCCTTTCCCTTACCTACTAAGCAGGTGAACGTGTCATCGAAGGAGATCAGGTTAGTCAAGCAGGGCCTTTCATAAACCTATGCTGACTGGGCCTCATCATCTGGCTGTCCTGCACATACCCCATGAAGGCACTCAAGATGATCTGTGCCATAACCCTCCCCAGCGCTGAGGTCAGACTGACAGGCCTGCAGTTCCCTGGATCTTCCTTCCAGCCCTTCTTGTAGCCAGGCATCACATCTGCTAACTTCCAGTCAGCTGTGACCTCCCCACTGTGCCAGGACTGCTGATAAATGATAGGAAGTGGCTTGGTGAGCACTTCTGCCAACCTCCTTAGTACCCTTGGCTGGATTCCATCTAGCCCCATAGACTTGTGTGTATCTAAGTTGTATAGCAGGTCACTCACTGCATTTCCCCTTAGATTACAGGGGCTTAATTCTCTTCCTGTCCCTGTCTCCATCTCCCAGCTCAGGAGAATCTGAAACTCTCTTTTTGTCATCACTGTGCCCAAGATGGCCTCCAACCACCACATCACCCACAACTCCTTCTCTGCTCACAAACAGGTCCAGTTGGCATCTTCCCTAGTTGATGCCCTTGCCAGCTGTGTCAGGAAGTTATCTTCCACACGCTCCAGGCACCTCCTAGACTGTTTTCTCTCTGCTGTATTGCATTTCCAGCAGACATATTTCCACCACTTTGCTTCTCTATAAATAAATACATAATATAAACCTCTCTGTAACGATCTGAAAGAATCACAACCTATGCCAGAGATTTCTAATAGATGAAAGTGCAAGACATTAAACATACTGCTTCCCAAATGTTACTGTTGCTTTTTAATCACCTACATAACATTTCAACATCACTTCAAGCTTTACAGTTGTGCCAGAATGTCATGTTCCTGCATTACAAAAACAGATACATTATTATCAGTCATCATAACGGAGGGACTACTGATAATTTTCCCTCCCAACAGTAAAAACATCATTTTTCTTTAGAGAGAAATTTTATTCTATTTTATATATCACTGGCACCATATCACTTCCACACTGAGTATGCAATCAAAAAAAGTTAATTCACTGGACTCAATTAATACCACCTTTGATAAATCGAATTTAATGGTAAAATGGCTTTAACAAGCTCATTTTCTTTCTACTCAATGACATTTTAAGTACTCTTCTTTAATACAAAAATATCTTACAAGTAGTTTGTGATATTAATTTCCCCTTCCAAGCTATACCTAAGGTAGCTTGACATCTACTGCCCTTTAAAAAACCAGTGAATAATTTATTTTGGGGGTGGGGTGGGTTGGGGACAGAATCCAACAGACAAACAACAAAAGAACAAATGTGAAACCAAGGGAGGTAATATATTAAGAAGTAGCAGCTTGTAAGTAATTAACAGAGTACACAGAGGTGGGATCCCATCAACAGCTCTGAAGGGTCCTCAGGCCAGTCCCCAGCTCAGGAAGAATCAAAGAGGATGCAAGCGTGGGATGAGGAGCTGTGACCCATTGCCCCAGACTGCTGGGCTGTCCAGGCACTGCCATCGAGTCCCAGCACACTGGAGCTTGGAGAAACAGGTACTCTGTACTACCTGCTGCGCCAACAGCTGCCCAAACTGGCACTGAGAACTGGGCAGCACGGCTCGCCAACACTCACAAGGCATCAGCAAAAGGCAGATGAACAGGGCCTGGAGACCAAAGGCCAGGAAGCAGGCTCCCTCCACCCTGCCAGCCACACTGGTTACTCCAGTGTCACACACGCTCAGCAAACGGCTGTCCTGTGGGGTGAAAGGCAGCATGTTGCCATGTCTTTGCTGGCAGATGACATTCACAATCCCTGCCCAGACTAGAGAGCCAGTAAAGGGACTGGACAAATGCTGTCCTTCCCTGGCAGGCACAGATGAGGAGGTCACAGTCCAAGCAGTCTAATCCACTCCCAAAATGTGCGTTAATTCCTCCTGCACAGATGGAGAAGCAGGAAAAAGCAGGAAAGGAGCAGTGAGGATGGATCAAAACCATGCTGGCTTAATGCTTCTGCAGCATGCCTTATGCCAGCCTCTGCTCAAAGCCCCTGCAGCCCAGGCTGAGTGTCAAACACAGGCAGTCCCCCCCAGGACCTGTCCTCTTTGATGCCCATCTCAACCCTTTCCAATGCAGGCAAGTTGCTGTCTCCTCACTTCCAAGTGCACGCACACCCCTTGGCCTGGCTGCACTAGCATCCATTCATGCTGTCGCCAGCAGCCTGGACTTCATCCAATTCCTAGAGAGAACTTCAGGCAGAGCCAATTTTCAGTGCTGCATGCTGCCTGCTTGGGGTCACAGAGACCTGCCTGTGGGTGAAGGGAAGGGACAGGGTGATATATTTGCAGGCTCAGGGTGGCCAACCACTAAGCACAAATGAACTATTCCACTCTCAGTGGGAACAGAGGAAACCAACCCCAAGACCCCCCACCCACCCTCAACTGCAATACCCAGTGCAGAACAAGCTCTCTCTGTGCTGACAGCAGGTCCCTCGTCACTCCTATCACCCCACTGCTGTCCCAGACATCCCAGGGGTCAGCTCCACCCCAGAGCAGTTCACTCCCTCCTTCCCCAGCCACTACGTTATTTACCAGTATTTACCACCCAGATGCCAAAGCACAATGGGTTATATATTTAGACTCTACAGTCTGATAGTGCTGGAGTCAGGCACATGCTGAGCAGGAATATCTGCAGTCCTGCTCATGTCTGCCACCCCTCACCCTATCCCAGCTATTCATGCCCTGCATTCCTCTCCAGCCTCAGCCTCAACCCTGAGCTGCAGCCTCACTCCCCCACCTCTCACCACTCTCTTCAAGTCACACTTCTCACACGAACGAGACCGCAGGTTCACGTCAGAAGCTGCCAACCGAGCAGCCTCTGGGGGAGCTGTGAGCAGTGTGCCACGTTTCTCCTCCGCGGACGCATGGGGAAGCAGCCATGAGAGGGAACTGCCCCATGGATGTGCTGGCAGGGAAAACCATCCTGCGAATGTGCTGGGAAGAGCCCCAGCTGATGGGGTTTGAACCTGGGAATCCCAAAAGAGCAGACACAGAAGGAGCTCAGGCTCTCTCCATTCTCTAAACGCCTTTCCTTTTGGCAGGAGCCACCACAGCCCAGGGAAAACATCTGCCCAGGGCTGATTTCAAAGGGACTGCTTTTAGTTTACCCTTCACCAGGGCAGCCCATTTTCAGATTTTCCCATGTTTTGAGTCCTGCTGGTGGCTGGGCACAACACAACAAAAAACGGGGCCAGAAAAAAAAACCTTCTATGGAGAGGCAGCCCATGCCTTGCCCAGGCGAGCCTGGGTCCGGCTCTCTCGGCACTGCCACCCTACATGCAGAACCTCCCAGCAGACCAGGTGCTGGCAGGCCCCTGTCCCACCCCCGGGGCAGGCAGACATGCTGAGACCAAGCTGCAGGCTCAGCGCCTGGCCCGCAGGCCCAGCACTCCCCAGCATTCATCTGCCATGAATTTTCCAACAAAGAGACCTGCGGGAGGGAGGAAGCAGGGAGGAGGAAGGAGGGAGGGTTACAGGGGAGGCAGGCCGAGAGGGTG